TCCAAAAGCATATGAGTAGACATGACGTTTCCATTTAATTCTCAACTGATATTCTTATCCAGGCTAAGGTTTCGATCCCGCCTCGAAAGTTTATTTAAAAACAAAAAATAGGTAATATCGTCGATTTCTACGGCAAATATTAATTTGCTTCATCGATTAGCATCTTCCATGTGGCCCAAGGGCACTCATGGCAATGCGGCGTAGTAGTTAACGTGTCAGGATTACACGCTGTATTGTCATGGTTCGACTTCCGCTGGAGTTGTTGATAAGACCTAGGCAAGGTCGAAACTGAAGTTCATTCTAGCTTAGATGGGCATAACTTTTGGGAAGCAAAGCTGTGTGAAATTCCGTAGAACACGTCATGTCTACATATATCATTGTGGGTAAATTAAAACACCAGTCTTCATCACCTTAAACTAAATAGGGTGAACACAGCTCATAAAATAAGTACGCCTAAATTATTATTGTTTAAAAAACGCATCGGAAGAAAATTCGCAATTCATAATAAACTAATAAAAGTAAACTTTAAAAGGAATCACTTTTGTCGAACATATTTAGGTAGAACAGTTCAACAAGTATTAGAGAAATAGAGCAACTCAAATAATGAAAGGATAAAAATGGTCCGACTTTGTTTTCTCAACTTGGTTGTATTTTCAGGGAGACATAGTTTGGCTCACATTGTCCAAGGTCATTTACCATTGTAATTATCATAATTGGCAATTTTGGACAGTGGAAGTCATACATTTGTAGACGTTTCGTTGGCAACGTAGTCGACATCGTCAGTAAGTCTTGCCTTTACCAGCACCAAGGAACAACTCGTCAAAAAGACGAATGCAGTCATTCCTCTGATCAACTTTTTGTCAAAACCGTTGTTCTATAACTCTTAGTTCTGATCTAGCCCATGGTCCAATGCAATGAATTATAATCACTATATTGTGACAAGACTCTCCATTTCGAAGGGAAAATTGGTTGGAAGGAATTCGTGATGTGGTCTCACCGGAAACCGAAAGAGGATTGTTGCGTAAGAAAGACTGTGGAAATGTGCAAAGAGTTCCTCGGCTCACCATACTGCGACTCCGACGAAACTGTGCTAAGCTTTCGCCTGTACTGTAACAGACATCGTAAGAGCAATATTGTATACTTTACGAAATATATCAAAAATATACTAAACCAAGAGATGAATGCGGCTGGCTGCAAACCTAGTCGCGATCTTAATGAGGCCTCCCATGATTTGGTTGGCTACTTCAACCTTAATCTATATGGAAGGTATGAAGACCAAGATGGTGTGGCCTTTTGTGTGGTCGCAGTCTCTTTTCGTTTTATTGAGTTTGTTTGACATTGTTTTTGCAACTTGGTCATATTGGTAGGAAGACTTAGAAGACCGTACCTAGTCCGGAGTCCATTGTATGCATGATCATTTCCAGAGTAGGACCGTGGATGTGGTACATTCCCAGACGTTTCGTCGGCATCCTCAATGAGTCTCGCCATTCTTAGCGC